AAAAAAAAAAAAAAAAAAAAAAAAAAAAAAAAAAAAAAAAAAAAAAAAAGGTAATTTTATGTCTTAAAGCCACATAAAATCCTTATATAAAAATAAATCTCTCATATTGATCTGTGGATGAAATGTGAACTGGCCAATTTAGGTCTGGGATATTTCTACATTAATATAGTAGGACTCATGAAGGACAAGTAATTCTAAATACTGATCTTACTATTCCACATAGATATTCTTGCACACAAAGTATGCTTTTTCATGACTGTGTACCATACATTGCAGTATTTAGGCTCATAATGTTCTAGTTGTCTGTAAAATAAACTCACAATAGATGAGTGGTTTTAACTGAAGGTCAGTGTTATCAGAACCCAGAGAGAAAACGCTTTGTTTTTACTTTTTTTAAGAAATTGATTTCTATGAATGAAGTCAAAGTAAACGTGCTGAAATATGACCAGTGGGGCAACTTGGCTAGTTGTTGCTTCATCTTGTACTTACTGATAAACCTTTATTTTATCTCCTACAGTTTTCCAGTCTGTGCAGTGGAAGTTGTAATACATATTTAGAATATTCCACAGAAGTAGTATTTTCATTAAGGATCTGGAATAATGCTAAATATTGACATTTCATATTTATTTCCAACATACATTTTGAAATGTCTGTATGGAGAACCATATACCTTTGCCAAATGTTAAAAATAAATGTGTTTTTTTGGACCTTAATTTAGCAGCTGTTCTTCACCTCTTAAGGAAAATATAACTAAACTAAACCTACTGTAACATAGCATCTTTAACTCAAAAAGCATCAACTTACTTGTATTATTTTTTAAAAAGTGTTTTCTTTTTTGAACTGTTTTAAACTTTGGATCTTTATTATAAGAAAGTCGCCATTTAAAATGGTTTTTGGAGGCAGTTCATTGGTTTGCCTTGATTAATAATTGCTGGCATAAGGATCAGTCAAATATCCAAAATTGTCAGAAGTCCATTTTGTACATCTGAGAAGCTTGTTGGCACTTGTGGTGTTTAGTAGGATATGCAGCAAAATCTCTTATTCATACAGCAGACTTTCATTTCTGTTAAACCATAATTTTTCCTAACAAGACACTGTCGGAAATATTTTTAGGAAGGTCTGTTGGTTTATGGCAAAATTATTTTTTTTATTGTTTGATGAGGAAAATATTTGTCTTTGCAAATTTTTGTAAACTC